ACACGTGACTACTGCACATTTGACGTGTGCCGAATGCAGCCGACATGCTGAATTTTTAAGTTCATGTAATTTATTTTTTAATTTTATTTTTATTTTTTAAATTTACATCCAAATTAGCATATAATGCAACAATGATTTCAGGAGTAGATTCCTTAGTGCCCCTCACCCATTTAGCCCATCCCCCCCACACCTCCTCCAGGAACCCTCTGTTGGTTCTCCATATCTATGAGTCTCTTATGTTTTGTCCCCTTTCTTGTTTTTATATTCTTTTTGCTTCCCTTCCCTTATGTTCATCTGTTTTGTATCTTAAAGTCCTCATATGAGTGAAGTCATATGATATTCGTCTTTCTCTGACTAATTCCGTTTAGCATAATTCCCTCCAGTTCCATCCACATAGTTGCAAATGGCCAGATTTCATTCTTTTTGACTGCCAAGTAATACTCCATTGTATAGATATACCACATCTTCTTTACCCATTCATCCGTCAAGGGACATTCGGGCTCTTCCCATATTTTGGGTATTGTTGAAAGTGCTGCTATAAACACTGGGGTGCATGTGCCCCTTTGAAACAGCACACCTGTATCCCTTGGATAAATACCTAGTAGTGCAATTGCTGGGTCGTAGGGTAGTTCTATTTTTAATTAAGTTCATGTAATTTAAATGTAGCCACGTGGAGCTAGTGGGTACTGTATTTTACAGCACAGGCTAGAATCTCTCTCCATTTCTTGCTTTCCTCTGCTCTTTTCCAGGCAATTGCCCACTTGTGGTGGCGAAAACGACCTCCGGCCGCTCCAATGTGTCACACTCACAGCTCACCCGGAAGGGAGCCCCTCCTCCCCACTGATCACAGCCACAGCCTCCAAGCCAATTTGCACGTCATGCAAATTGGCTGCGTCATGGGCCCAAATCTGGACTGGGTTGGCGAGGGGTGGTTCCACAAAGAACCGGAGAATCTGGGCACTGCCGCCACAGGAAAGAGGAGAGACCGCAGGAAGTGAGCACCGTGGTTACCACTTGTAGTTCTGTTTGTAAAGTATTTGGGAATACTTCAGGTTTTGTAAGGGAGAGAGTGAAAACATGAAGTGCTTTGCAAAGGTAAATGAGGACAGAGAGCAGTCCTCTCTCTATCAAAGGAAATGGGGAAGGTGGAGATTCGATTTGGGGTCTAATGGCCGTGTTGGGAATTTGAAGGACAAGTTGAAATCTGATGATGACAGCATCTGGACTTGTGTTTTCAGGCATTATTGTTTGCTTTGATTTGCTTTGAATCTGATAGAAATCTGATACATAAAGAATACATAAATCTGGGACGCCTGGGTGGCTCAGTCAGTTAAGCATCCAACTTCGGCTCAGGTCATGATCTCGTGGTTCGTGAGTTCGAGCCCCGCGTCGGGCTCTGCGCTGACAGCTTGGAGCCCACTTTTTGGATCTTCTGTCCCCTTCTCTCTCTCTCTGCCCCTCCCCCACTCTCTCAAAAATAAACATTAAAAAAAAAGAATATGTAAATCCAGTAGAAACTTTGATTGCAGATGGCAGAAAAGTTTGAGTTTTATTATTTTTGAAATACAGAAATGAGAGAATCGTGGTCTTAGAGCAGTGGGTAAATTGAAATGTCCCAGGGGCGGGGAGGGGTGGGCAGGGCAGGTGAGCTGGTAAACCGGAGTCCCCGTTTACACGTACACACGCGCGCACACACAGAAAACTGTCCACGGTTGTCACGTGTATGTGTGGCCCCAGTGTTGCCAGCCCTTTGAACTTTTCAGAAGGTGTCAGAAATCCAGAATTTCAGTGAAACAGCCTGATTGTTTGAAAACAACTTCTGAGACAGGCTGGCAGTTCGCCTCCCCGTCTCAGAACGCTCAGAGACCAACTCTACCAGGGGCCCTGTTTCCGGGGCTGTGAATCTATTCCCTCGAAGGTCACTGTGAGGCGAGGGCGAGGTAATGTACGCAGAGGGTTTGGACGGTGCCTGAGGACTAAGAAGCACTCAGCCAAGGTTGGCTGCTCCGTCCGTGTCTCAGGGAGATGGCTGGGGCCCAAACGGATTGAGTGAGTGGCCGGAGGCAGTCTCCTCGTTCAGTGCAACTCCAGAGTGTGGTCCCGGGACAGCAGCATCGTATCACCTGGGTGCATGTTGGAAGGAAAGGCAGGTGCTCGGGCCCACATCGGTTCTACTGACTAGAACCTCCGCTGGAGGGTGTCGTGCATTTTCACACGCTCTCCCTAGGTTCTTCTGGCCCGCTAAAGTCTGGGGAGCTCTGAAATCCAGCTCATTCTCTCTCTTTTCTTTAATTTTTAAAAACATTTTATTTCATTAAGGGTTCATTTATTTTTGAGAGAGAGAGAGCACGTGCACGTGAGCGGGGGAGGGGCAGAGAGAGCAGGACTGAGGATCCAAAGTAGGCTCCAGGCTGTCAGCACAGAGCCCGGTGCAGGGCTCGAACTTGCAGACTTCCAGATCATGACCTGAGCCGAAGCTGGACGCTTAACCGACTGAGCCACCCAGGCGCCCCTGAAATCCTGGTTATTCTCTGTCTCCTTCATTCTTAGCAGCACTGTTTTAATGAGCATGGCTCGAGGGTCTTCTGAAAGTCACAAAAATGAAAAGCCTGCATCTCCTCTTGTGTAAACTGCGCTCTTAACTCACTCGGCAGAGTAAGCTTCAGTCTCCAGCCCCCTCCGCAGAGGGTCCTGCTTCCTAAAGTAGGACAATCCGATTGATCAGAACTGCAGTTGCGACTGAATGCACGACTCCCCACACAGATTATTCCAGGGGTGCCAAGAAGCAGCCTCTGCAAACTTCAGGCTGCATTTTTGCGCTGGGTTATCTGCTGAGAAAGAACTAGAAAAGGCTAGAGCCTGACTCACAGAGCAACCCACAGATGGTATCTGGGCAGCATTCCTTCCTTGCCCGTTTGGGCTCCGGCAATGCGCAAAGGAGGAGGAAATAGCACTCGCCTGTCGTTTCTGACTAAGACCTGGAGCAGGTGACACTCCAGCGAAAATGACACACGGCACTGTTCTTCTAGAACATGGGGGTTCCGTTCCCAGGCCTCGTGTCCTGCCAGGCGCACGAGCCTTCCATCTATGGGAGCTAGTGAGTTGCTTATCAGGTTTTCTCCAACATTCCCAGAGGCCTTCACCTGCTGCCTCAGGTATGTATCTGCGGTGACTCAGGCAAAACTCTGTATGCTTAGTGACTCAGAAACTGAATCATTAACTTGGTAAATGCCTGCCGAGCATGGGGAAAGGGAGCTTGGAGACGGCTTCAGAATGTGGGTCTTCCGGTAATGCCAGCGAGGATGGCCGTATGAGAACAGCGATGCCGAACCGTGTTGCTTCTCAGGCGGGCCACGTGCTAAACGGACAGTCCCCTGGAGTCAGGATCTCCAATCAGCCACTCTGAGAAGCAGCAACTCACGGGGATTGTAGAATGTGTGCCCAGAAATGTAGATTTCATTTCTTTGAATTCCTATCCGGTACAGCAGAAAAACGTGCAAAAGGCTTCTTGACTTAAAAACACACATACGCACAACTTTGGATTTAAAATGGGGTATATGCAAAAAATAAATAAGTAAATAAATAAATAAATAAAATATGATTTAAAATGGGGTATATGCATTCCACACACACACAGTGCCACATGCTACTTGAGAAGGAATTCCAAACAAACCTCTCCCCAAAATGGCCATCGTCATAATCTTTCAGTCCCCCGTGGAAGGCAACAGTAAAACCTCGGCAATTTAGTTGCGACACAAGAGGGGTTTTCTAGTGAGCTGGCCTGGCTGTCCTTCCTGCACCCCCAGGGTGTCTTGGCTGGTGTTCACAGGACCTGTGCCCAGTGGGGCTGGCATGTGCCTCCAACAGCCAAACAGACCGGGCCAGGGGAGAGGGAGGGGACAAACAGTCAGGGAGAGAGCCAGGAGAGGAAGCAGAATGGCTGGGGAGGGTTGAATGGGCTACATCAGCTGCTGACAACTCTTCAGATATCTTTGTTGTCCTTTCCCGCTCCCTGTGTGGACACCAAGGGGACACAAAACCCCTTTGCCGGGGCGCCTCTGAGAACTCATAATTGTTTTTCAAACGGCATGTGAGGAGAGAGCGAAACATCCATGGTTTTGAGGAATGACAGAAACAATGCAGAAGGTGAAGTCACCTTGACATCCCTTAATCAAGCCGTGAAGTTCAAGTTCAGCCTGCCAAGTCGTCTCTTATTTTAATCATGGTTTAGAGCTTTTCCTCTTTAGAAGAGTTTGTGTTTGAATGTTGGTGTCCGTTCTAGGACAGATGGATGGCCGGACTGATAATGCTTATGATGTCTTTCCTCTTTTAGCCATGTGAAGGCAAATAATGGTTAAGGATGGATGAAATATTTAACAGCGGCCATGCATAATTTATCCCTGAGTGGGTGCTCATTTCCAGCCCAGTGCTTGGCTCTCAATTAGGGCTTCTCAGAACATCAAACCACTGTCTCCTTGGCAAATTGACATTCTGCTTATTTTTACTCCTTTCTTCCTAAGACTCATTGTTTTTAATTTTTCTTGTTGAAATACTCATTCCTAGATGTCGTTTTCATCAACAGGAAACAAAAGTAAAAACCACAGGCAGGCAAGGTTTTCTGTGTGGTCATTTCTGGGCCTGGGGTGGGGGGGAGGGGTGTGGAGTTTACTCAGAATTTCAGAGATGTACCCAGGAAGGAGAAAAATATATTTGTACATATAACTATTGCTTATGTAGACTGTTTAAGGAAGCCGTGTGTCCACTGGAGTGATACATGATTTCAGGAGAAATCTTAGGGAAAAAAAGCGTATATATAAAAGAAAAAAGTCACCTTTCCCCAAAATCACTTTGCAGAGATAACCACCCTTAAGTTTTTCAGTACATATGCACATCAAGATATATTACCTGGCACGTATTTTGACCAAAACAGGATCCACAGCAACGTATAAATTATTCTGTAGTTGGCTTTCTTTGGAGGACGATATATTGGGAATGTCTTTGCTCTGTCAATATCGCTCTGCATCATTTATAATGGTTTCATCGCATTTCATAGTATAGATGGGCCGTCATTTTGTAAGACCAATTCCCTATTGTTTTCATTTTTTCTCGATTCTAAACAGTGCTGGGGTGAACAGCTTTGTAAATACACCTTTTTGTTCTTTGTTCCATTATTTCCTTAGGATAAATTCCCAGAAGAATCCTCAAGTCAAAGCATACATGTTTTTTTTGGAAAAGGAGATCTGGCTCAAGAAAGTATCCACTTTTCTTCCAGAAAGGCTGCTCTCCTTGACATCCTTACCAAGGTTCTGTGCGAATCTTTTTCCCTCCCCAACCACTAGATTTGTTTTTAACCTCTTCCTTATTTAATAGGGGGGAGAAAGAAGCTCATAATTTTACTTTGCAGATTTTTTATTAGTAGTACAAGGGTTTTTTTTCATTGTTTATTTGTATTTATTTTCTTATCTTCTCTATTTGGGTCCTTTGTACAACATCGAACAAATCGAGGTATTGGCCTTTTGTTTTTTTAAAGTAGGCTCCACACCCAGTATGGGGCTTGAACTTATGATCCCAGGATCGGGAGTCGCATGCTCTACCGACTGAGCCAGCCGGGCGCTGTGGCCTTTTCTTGATATATACACGTTGTTTTATATATCAAGGAAGTCTTTGGGCTCATTTTTTCCTAATTAGTCATTTGCTTCTTACCATGTGTGGTTTTTCTATTTGATGTATAGGCATCTCTTACTGTACAAGAATCTCTTATCTCTGAAATTATCTCTGATTGATAGAGATAAATTACTTATCTCTATAGTAAAATCCCTTCATTCTGTACTCTAATAGCTTCAATCTCAAAATTACATAAATACTTACCCAGATTGTATCCCAAGTGTTACAGTACTTTTTTTTTTTTACTTTTTTTTAATGTTTATTTATTTTTGGCAGAGAGAGAGAGAGAGAGACAGAGCACGAGTGGGGGAGGGGCAGAGAGAGAGGGAGACACAGAATCGGAAGCAGGCTCGGGGCCCTGAGCTGTCAGCACAGAGCCTGATGCGGGCTTCGAACTCACAAACTGTGAGATCGTGATCTGAGCCGAAGTCGGACGCTTAACTGACTGAGCCACCCAGGCGCCCCATTTTCTCTCTTTATTTTTATTAAAGTCTCCACACCCATCATGCAGCTCGAACCTGAGATCAAGAGTCACGTGTAGTACTGACTGAGCCAGCTAAGTGCCCCTATTTTCCCTTATTATATAAAAACAGCAGCCCTGTTGTACCATTTGCTTTCCCCATTTAATATATCTTGGTAATTTTTCCATACCACTAGATAAAATCCTTCCCCATTCATTTTTTTCATTCTTTTCTAAATACAAACTTACCATCTTATAATTATTCTAGATTTACAGGAAAGTTGCACAGAGAGAACAGCCTCACTCACCTCCCTCTGATGTTAACATCTTACAGAACGTGGTGCTGTTTGTCACAACTAAGAAATTACCAATGGTACGGGTCTTGGTCTGCTCGGGCGACCTTAACAAATACCACTGACTGGGGGACTTGACCAACGAAAGTTCTGGGGGCTGGAAGTCCAAGATCAGGGTGTGCTGGCACAGTTCCTAGTGAGACCTCTCCTCCTGGCTTGTAGATGGCCACTTTTTCTCATGGCGCCCTCCCCTGGCCTCTCCTCTGTGCAAGAAAGAGAGTGGGAGAGAGAGAGCTCTCGGGCGTCTCTTCTCGGGACACTAAAGACACTACTCTTATGGGATCAGGGTCCCGCCTGCTGGGGGTTTACCTCTTCAACATATGAATTGGTGTGTGTGTAAGGGGAGGGGGGGACATAAACATTCAGTCCATGACAGAACATTACTCTTGACTAAACTGTAGACTTTATTTGGATTTCACTGCTTTTTCACCAATGCCTTTTTTTCTGTTCCAGGATCTGATCTGGGGTGCCATCTTGCATTTAATCCCCATTCACGTCTATAGCTCCATAACATAAAACCAGTCTCATATATTAAACAATCTCCTAGCGATGGACCTTTAGTTTGTATCAATATTTTTTACCATTGCAGCTAAGTAGCAATAAGTGTACTCATAGGTCATTTTTGCATATATTGAAATATATTGATATAAATTCCCCAAAACGGAAATATGGAGGGAATAAGCACACACACTTGTAATTTTGATGGATACTGCTGGCTTGTCCTCCCTGGGGGTGTGTCCAGTTATACTCCCATTAACAATGGGTATCAGTGCCTGTTTTCCCACAACCTTGCTAATCTTGTGAATTTTCACCAATCTGTTGGTTGAAGGACGGATCTTATTCTGAGTGAAACCGAACGTCTTTTCATGTGAGTCTGAGCTTCTTGAATGAACTTTTCTTCCACCTATCGTTTCATATACTTTGTCCATTTGGTGTTTTTCTTATCAATTTCCAGAAACCCTTTGTAGAGGATGGGGAGTACCCTTTGACCACGATATGGGCTGGCAAGCAATTTTTCCCAGCTGGTCACATTACTTTCCCCAACAACCAACTTCACTGAGGTATGATGTGTTTCAGTAACGTGTACTTTGAACATACAGTTCAATGAATTGCAACAGATACACATCCATAGAATCACCACCCACCACCACGACTGAGGTACAGAATATTTCTATGACCCTTACATTATTTTAGAATATGCTTCCAGTAGTGTTGCCATACAGAAACTTCTAATCTTTCTATAGTTGAAACTTTTTTTTTAATGTTTATTTATTTATTTTGGGAGAGAGAGAGAGTACAAGCGGGGAAAGGGCAGAGAGAGGGAGAGAGAGAGAATCCCAGGCAGGCTCCATGCCATCAGCACAGAGCCCGATGCAAGGCTCAATGCCACGAACCGTGAGATCATGACCTGAGCCCGAATAAGAGTCGGACGCTTAACCAATGGAGCCATCTAGGTGCCCCTAGAGTTGGAACATTTTTTATGGCTCCTGAATTTCGTGTTATAATAGGACATGGGGACTTTCACATTCTGAGATTGTAAAATAATTATTCTTTCTTTCTTCTATTATATTTGTACCTTCGCTTTTTACATTTTGATCTTTGGTCTAGAATAGTGCAGAAGAGCGTGAGCAGGTGTGAGGTGTGGGTCTAATGTCTATCCAGTTGTCCCAGCCATTCATAAACAACTGGCTATCTTTCCACTTCCCTTGACGTATGTCACATTTGTCATATTTTGAAAGTTTGCTTCTTCAAATATATTTTTGGACTTTGTATGCTGCTCTTTGGTTCTGTTTCTTCAATCATTTCCACACTGTTTTTATTTTTATTATTTTTAACTTTCTTTTTAATGTTTATTTATTTTTGAGAGAGAGAGAGTCTTTTTTAGAGATAGAGAGAGAGAGTCTTTGTGAGAGAGAGAGTCAGAGTGCAAGCAAGGGAGGGGCAGAGAGAGAGGGAGACAGAGGATCCGAAGCAACTCCAGGCTCCCTGCTCCCAGCTGGGAGCACAGAGCCCGATGCAGGGCTCAAACTCACAAACCATGAGACTGTGACCTGAGCCGAAGTCGGCTGCTTAACTGAGCCACTCAGGTGTCCCTCCATACTGTTTTTTCTTTTTTAACTTTATTTATTTTTTTAGTAATCTCTTCACCCGTTTTGGGCTTGAATTCACTACCCCGAGAGATTAAGAGTCACACACTCCTCTGATAAGCCAGTCAGGAGCCCTTCATTTCTATACTGTTTTAATGATTGAGGGTTTATGGCAGGTTTTAATGTTTGGTAGTCCTATTCCCCTGCATTAGTTTCCTATTGCTTCTGTAACAAATTACCACAAACTCCGTAGCTTAACGCAGCACAGATTTATTATTTTATAGTTCTGGCATCATTACTCTGCCTACCACATCCCCTCATTGTTTTTTTGGTTTTTTTCCCCAGGGTTTTCCTATCTTTGCTTGTTAGATTTTTTTTTTTTTCAACGTTTATTTATTTTTGGGACAGAGAGAGACAGAGCATGAACGGGGGAGGGGCAGAGAGAGAGGGAGACACAGAATCGGAACCAGGCTCCAGGCTCTGAGCCATCAGCCCAGAGCCTGATGCGGGGCTCGAACCCACGGACCGCAAGATCATGACCTGAGCCGAAGTCGGATGCAACCGACTGAGCCACTCAGGCGCCCCTAGGTTTCCACATTTTAAATGTCAAATATGGGCAAAAATATTTTTTAGGGCTTTGAAAACTTACATTCTCCTGCCTTCTTACTTATTTCTGTCTCCTGGATCTGCCATGGAACGAGAGGGGTAATTATTATAATTTTTTAATTTCAATGGCTCTTATTCAAAACTTTGCTGGTTAATCTTGACACCTTAGTTCACTCCAGCTAATCTCAAAACATTTTAAATATGAAAGAAAAGCGTGTTTGAGGATCAGCAAAATATTTTGTGTTTATTCTCTCATCTAGACAGTGGGGTCTTTTCGTTACATTTCAGAACAAAAATTCCATTGTAAGCCTAGATCGGCACTTTGGTAAATGCGTAGATTATTTTACAGGAGAAGAGCTTTAGGACGCGGATTCTCCTCTTCGGTGAATGTGGTGTCTGTCCACTTACTTGCTTCTTCTTCCATATTCTCTACTAGAGTTTTATAGTCGCCTTCTGCGGGCTCCTGCACACTTTCTGTTAAGTATCTTTCTAGGTACTGTTCTTTGTTCTATTAGGAAGGAGTTACTGTAACCATTCATTTCTCTAACTATTGTTGGGGTTTTTCTGATATAAAGTTTCTTAGTAAAGAGCTTGCTCACTATTTGTAATTGGATAATCCTTCCAGAAGGATAATACAGTGATGATGCTTCCTCTTAGAAAAATGTTACTGGTATTTCATGATTAAGAATAACTCTCTTTCTTTCTTCCTTTTTAATTTTTTTTTTTGATGTTTATTCATTTTTGAGAGAGGGAGAGAGAGAGAGACAGAGTGCGAGCGGGAGAGGGGCAGAGAAAGAGAGAGACACAGAATCCAAAGCAGGCTCCATCCAGGCTCTGAGCTGTCAGCCTAGAGCCCCACGCAGGGCTCGAACTCACAAGCCGTGAGATCATGACCTGAGCCAAAGTCAGACGCTCAACCGACTGAGCCACCCAGGCGCCCCTCTTTATTTTTTTAAGTTTTATTTATTGAGGTAATCTCTATACCCAACATGGGGCTCAAACTCATGTCCCTGAGATCGAGAGTAGCATGCTTCTCTGAGCCAGCCAGGAGTCCCAAGAATAACTTCCTTAAATAAGACACTTAGTTTTCTCATTGCAAAATTAATATGTTCACTGCAGGCAAAATATAGAAGAAGAAAATTTAAATCGCATTACCGCTACTTAGAAATGGCCACGGTTAGCATTTTGTTGTGTGTGGATACATAGAGTTTTCTCTTTTTATAAAAGTGAGATCTGACAATACAGTCCCATAACTTGCTTTTTTTTTTTTTAACTCAACATGTTGTAAACAGTTCTTGAACTTATTAAATATTCTTCTTCAACTTCTCTCTTATGGCTGCACAAGGCCTATCTATATATGGGCATCGTCTGATTTATCTTATCAGTGCCCCTGTCGTCAACTATTGAAACGATTTCTAATTTTCTCCTGTTGCAGCTCTGCAAGGATTTGCACACAACCGTGATTATATTCTTAGGAGAATTGGAATTTCTGGATCTAGGGTTGTGCAAAAATTATAAAATGTTTGATACAGATTGCTAGATTTCCTTCCAGGAAAGTTGTGCTGAGTTTATATTCTGCTAGGTGGTCCAGGCACCTCTCCATATTCTGGTCAACACCAGACATCATCCTTTTGCAATCTTTTATCAGTGTGTAAAAGGCTGTTTGAAAAGCAAAAAGAAAAAAAATGTTTAATATGGTGAAATTTTGATGAGTGGCAACAGATAAGACAGTAGTGGGAAGAAAGACAAACATCACTGTGGAAGACAGTCTACTAATCCTTGGTGGCCCTTAAAAAGTGATCCATAGGGGCGCCTGGGTGGCGCAGTCGGTTAAGCGTCCGACTTCAGCCAGGTCACGATCTCGCGGTCCGTGAGTTCGAGCCCCGCGTCGGGCTCTGGGCTGATGGCTCAGAGCCTGGAGCCTGTTTCCGATGCTGTGTCTCCCTCTCTCTCTGCCCCTCCCCCGTTCATGCTCTGTCTCTCTCTGTCCCCAAAATAAATAAACGTTGAAAAAAAATTTAAAAAAAAAATAAAAATAAAAATAAAAATAAAAATAAAAAGTGATCCATAACCAGCCCGAGTGGCCATCACCTGAGGAATAAATGGCAGCCTGTGGGACATCCACGTAATGGAGTAGCTCTGGGCCACAAGAAGGAATGAAGACTGGATGCACACCATGGCGTGGAGGAAACGTGGAAACAGCATAAAGGTCACCTACCGTAGGATATACTCCCATGGAAGGTCCAGAACAGACAAATCCAGAGAGACAGGAAGTAGACTGGTGGTTGCCGGGAGCTGGGGGGAAGGGGCGATGGGAGGACTGGGGAGTGATGGCTAAGGAGGGTGGGGTTTCTTTCCTGGGGTAGGAAAATGTCCTCAAACTGACCGTGGTGATGGCCACGCAACTCTGAATAGACTTCAGTATATGCCACTGAATCTTTAAATACATGAATCGAATGGCATGTGAGTTATAGCTCAATAAAACTATTAAATAGTGATTCACAGGGCGCCTGGGTGGCTGTGTCGGCTGAGCATCTGACTTCGGCTCAGGTCATGATCTCACTGTTCGTGAGTCTGGGCCCCAAGTCGGGCTCTGTGCTGACGGCTAGGAGCCTGGCGCCTGCTTCCGATCCTGTGTCTTCCTCTCTCTCTGCTCCTCCCCTGCTCCCGCTCTGCCTCTCCCTCCCTCTTCTATCAAAAATCAATAAACATTAAAAAAACTTTAAGATATTTAAAAAAAGGATTCTCTCCCTCTCCCTCTCTCCCTCTGCCCCTCTCCCCAGCTTGCACTCACTCTCTCTCAGTAAACCTCATTCATTCAAAACACATCAGCTGTGTAGCATGTGGTGGGGTCTTAGCAGTGAGCAAGAAAACACAGCCCCTGTCCTCATGGAGCTAATATTTTACCTGATACCACACTACCTCCTTGGAAAGAAAATAAAAAGAAAATGCTGGAAGGAAGACACATTTTGAGACCATCAGAAATTCTGCGGGCTTCTAATTCACGTTCCTTGGAGAGCAGCAGCCTCTGGGTCACTGAACAGACCTGCTAAGTCACCGTCTGCACTTGACCAAAATTCCCAGGTGATGTGTCATTCCCTGGTACCTTCAAGTGTGACCAGCCCTGATCTACATGGCGACCTTCTGTCTGAGCAGAAACCCTGTCTACACTACGCCCATGCCAACCCTCTACCCAAAGCAGAAACCCCATCTACATTATCCCGAAGTGCCAAGGACAGGGACAGGCGGCTAGCAGTCCAACGGTTCGAACGGTCCCATCAGTGGGGCCTCGCTACTCGGAGAACTGACCGTTCACTGACCGAAGTCTCACCTTCAGAAACTTCTCCCCTCATTTCCGGGCAGAGCTGGCCCCCCTTGAGTGGATGCCCCTGCACTGGATTTCTATCGTGGCATAACAAAGTCCCACCGTCTTAGAGGCTTGAAACAACACGCCTTCGTTTTCTCGCTTTCCATGCGGTTTGAACACGACAGGTGACCTGGGTCCTTGGCTCAGCGTCTCACCAGGCTACCAGGCCGGCATCGGCTGGGCCCTCTGCAGCTTGGATCCTCATCCAAGCGCGTTGAGGCTGTGCTTGCGGCAGCTGT